AGCCCCCGAGGCCACCGGAGCCCCCGAGGCCACCGGAGCCCCCGAGGCCACCGGAGCCTCGGAGGCCGTCGGAACCCCCGAGGCCGAGATCTTGTGAGGCCTGGTTGTGTTGGTCTAGGTCCTTTTTGAAGTGGTGGATACGTGACCAGGGATGGAGGAATGTGTTCTCTGGTCTGGGTCCGATCTGTTTTTGTTGCTCTTCGGAGATTAGAACGGCTGAGCAGTCCGGATCTAGAATATTTCCGAGCGCTACAGCATGAGCATTCATGAACTCGGGAGTGTAAAGTCCATGTGTGAGGTTGGTAGGTGTTTGCATCCATTTGTTTTGGAGGAATGCAATCATGAGTGGGTGGTGAGGTTCCATCGGAATGGGTCCGAGGTCGGTCAACCCTTCCTGGCTTTCTTGGCCTTCGCCTTCCGCGTCCGTGTCGCAGTCTAAACAAGCCTCCCAGTCGGTGGCCTTGAGCGGTACCTTCATGTCTTCGGGCACGTGCATTCCTCTCGGGTATTTACCGCCGTGGGCGGCGCGGAAAGCGTCGAGTTGGTCTGCAGCGAGGCGCATCCACATGGCGTGGTAGTCGGCCTGTGAGAGGTCTTGCGCATCGATCGGGTCGACCTGGATGTCCTTTTCCTGGACACGGATGTGCACGTCCACAGGTACCGGCTTCATCTGGTCCTTGACAATGAGCACGGGCTTTTCTCGGACGCACGGCACGTCGTAGGAGTTCTCGTTGAAACTGAGTTTCGGAGTCACGTGGCGCCGCACGGGAACGGGCACGAAGTGGTCGCGGAAACGGATCATGGGCACGTCGATGCTGATGCATAGTGGCTTCGGCACCATGAAGGGTACGGGGATGTCGATGGTCACCGGTGCGGGAGCGTCGGGCGGTTGGAACTTGCGCTGTTTGGGCAAGACTACGCCCTCGAGACTCTCATCATCCTCGTCAGGCATACCCGGACTCGCAGCCGGACTCAGGTTCATGTTCGGCGTGTCGGGGATATAACGAATCACGCGTTCCACGTTGTCCTCCGTGTCTACGTAGCGCACGATCTCACGGACTTCGGGCACTTCCTGCACACGTTCCTTCCATACAATCCGAGGCACCGGCACTTCGATCTCACGCTCCTGCACCGTAATGCGTGGTACAAACGTCGTGGTCACGCCCCGCTCCACAGGCGTCTCTACGTACTCGTCCACAATGCGGCGGTGCACCACCGGCGTCTTGCGGTCGTGGTACACCACTTTCTCCGTCGGAATGGCACGCACGATCGTTTGCTCGCGGAACTGAGGCTCGATCTCCTCAATCTGCCGTGTCACCGGTACGCCTTGGACCCGCTCCGTCACATGCACATCCCGCGGCACCGCCACAAACTCCTGCTCCGAAGCCTGACGCGTCCCCATCGGGTGCATTGCTTCTGGGTGGACCTGTTCCCCAACTTGGATCCGTCTCCGGATGCGTTTGCGTGACTCGGACACCACCGAACCTGGACTGCCCGGCACGCCATCCGGGGTCGCGTTCAGTCGCGCGCTGCCAAACATACTCGGCGTCGCTGCCGCAGGGACCGGTGTCTGCGACTGTCCAGCCGGGGTCGGGACCGGGGTCGCAGTCGGAGTCGGAGCCGGAGCCGGCGTCTGGATGCCTGGGCCGACGAAGCCTTGGCCCGCACCCAGGTTATGTCCTTCGTGCAGCAACCCCACCTCGGGCTGGCCCACTCGGGATTGCACCTGCGTCGTCTGCGGACGGTCCAGTCCGAGCTGCGTCTCGGTCACACTTGTCGCGGTGCCTTCGCCTCCGTTGTCCGGTCTTACGTCGTCATTTCGTCGGGCATCCTCGTCTTGTCGGGCATCGTCGTTTCTGTGGTCATTCATCTCATCACCTTGGTTCATGTTTCGCTACTAGAAGAAGAACAAAATGAACAACTCTTTGAGGCAAAGCTGTGGGGCGAAGCTGTGGGGCAAAGCTGCGTGAGGGGTGGGGGGAGCGCCAGGGGGGGATGAGCGCCAGGGTGGGGAGGAGCACCAGGGCCCTCCGTCGTAGACGGCCACAGGGTGCTGCGGCCCCAGGGACGTCCTCTCGCCCGCGCTGCGTGCGACCAACACGCTGGGAGGGGTCTCACCTTGCACTGCTGAATTACTGGATCGCGTGGTCAGACTGGGTGCATGTGCATGTAAGCGTGGCTGATGGATAGAAAGAGCGAGCCCGCATCATCCGGAATCCATTCCACTGCAGCAAAGAGCGCTCCCTTTGAGCCGGGACATGAACATGTGGATTTGGTCCAAGCTCCGGTCCATGATGAGTTCAAGCTTCCACCACGCGAAGACTCCCGTGAGGTGGTCGAGATGGACCCGAATGACCAGATTCATCGTAGCATCATCCCTCACCTACACGTTAAGGAGGTATTTCAGGAAGTGGAGCACGAAGTCCACAAGAAGAGGTATGTCAAGGAGCCGAGGGTTCAAGTACTCCATCGAAAGCTAGCGATTGAGAAGGAAGTGAAGCGGCACGAGAAGGTGGAGGTGCCTCAGTTGTGCGTGGTGGATAAGATTACTGAGAAGTACGTCGACTTGGAAAAAGAGAGGGTGATTCAGAAGCCTCAGTACGTCATTCAGGAACGTCTGGTACCGCTGCCGCGTCGCAAGTTCGAGGAGACGACGGTTCGAATCCCCAAGGAGGATTACGAGCAGATGGTCAACCAGAACCTGGACAACCTGGCTTTCCCGGGCAACGCATCGAACTTGCGGCCGGATGAGGGGTACTTCGACTACCAAACTGGTCAGTGGAGCGCGCACCCGGGAATGCCGGATCTTATTCCGGACGAGTTCAAGGACATCAGCGGTCTGATAACGTCCGATTCGCCTGGCTTTCTCAACATGGACCATCCCGAAGGGGTCCCGGCAAACGTGCGTTATGTGCCCCAGCCGGTCGAGATCCCGGTGGTGCATTACCGCCCGGTACCTGTGGAACGTCTGGTGGATCGCAACGTACCAGTGCCCGTGGAGCTCCGAGTCACACAAGAGTTCAATGTGCCCTCACTCTTCCCCGTTTGGAACGAATCACCGGTACCCATTCACGTTAACCGCTTCATTGAGAAACCGGTTCCCGCTGACTGCTTCGTCAATAGGGCCATGCTCTCTGCCTATATGGCTGCTACCAAGAACATCGACCGCGCCGCCACCGATCAGGCCGCCAAGGGACCAGGCATGTTCGACGGCTGCTGTAACAAACCACAAAATCCTATCCGTGTTAAAATGAGCGACGCAGAACGTATGGCCGCAAATCTCACCGAAGATGACGTCGACCACCTCAAGTCCTTCAATAGCAGAGGCTTCTCCATCGGAGGTCCCGGCTTCAACCGATCTGAAAGTCGAGCTTTCCTTGCCAACCAATTCACAATTCGACCAGATGAAGAAAGACCCGACGAAGAAAGACCAGGCCAATGAACCCCAGCATACGGGACTACAGTCTGGCAGTCAACGATTAATTTCTACGACTAACAGTCCGGACCGCGGCTAGGTCACAGATCCGCCTAGACATAGCAATCGGCACTAACTACACGCAATGCCTGTCAGTTGCCGATCCATCATGGCGGGATTATCGAGGTAGCGACTATCCTAGGTAGGGCGATGATTATTTCTCCTATCAAAACCGTCTTGTATATATCCCCAAAGTTACCTGGCTGTCTGCACCCTGTCGTCCTACATGCGACCTCATCATCACCATACCATTTCGGGCTCGTGGGAGATAGTCAACGGGTCTGGACGTAGTCCTCGTAATATGACGTCGTTCACGCAGTGCGTAGGGGGTCTCCCGTCGCGTGGCGTTACTCTTAACAGTATCGAAGTTGTACTGTTTCAGACGTGGGTATCAGGCGTGGGTAACGTCCGGCTGGGGCGCTGTACCCGCAGAGGTTTCCGCCGTTCGGCACGAAGTGGTGTTCCGTACCGGCAGGACTGGGTACCGGCAGGACTGGGTACCGGCAGGACTGGGTGCCGGCAGGACTGGGTGCCGGCAGGACTGGTTATCCCTTTACTACATGGTCGATAGAAACTAGTTTCCCGTTTTTGGAAGCTAGTGCTGCTTGCATGACAGCTTGAGGTCCTAATAGGCGTTCCATCGCATCGGCGTGCAGTT